GCACCGAAGGGAATAGGGGCCCCAAGCAAGTCGAACACCTGGGGCGACGCGGTGCTCCTGGACACGGCGCCGCTCCTGCATCCCGGATCCCTGCCCCCGTGTCGTGAAGGCCCGCGCCCGAGCCCCGACGGACCGCATCCGGTCGTTCCCGGAGGGCGACCTGTCAGTTCGGCTGGCAGAGGCCGCAGCGGAGCTCCAGCCGGAGGACCCGAGGGCCACGGCGCACGGGCCTCGACATGGAGGTGCGCCCCGCGACCTCCACCACCGCCTCCCGACACCGCCGGAGGTGAAGCTCCGGGGGCGCCGGGCCTCGGACGCGACGCTAAAGCGCTGCGCCATGCAGACGCGCGCGGTCTCGGAGCTGGCCTGGGCGCCCCCGCAGGTGGTGGAGCGCGGGAACCACGTCTCGGAGATGCTCGCCGCCGCGTTCGCCGGAGCGGCCGCGTCCCCGCCGCCCCAGGCCACGAGGCGCAGCCAACAGGCCCTTGCGAGGCGCCTCTGAGCGACCGCCTGGCGACGGCCCGCCTGCGCTCGCTGCTTCGCGCCAAGGTGGCCACCGCCAGCCGCGGTCGCAAGCAGATCTTTCTCGAACTCTTTGCTGGATCCGAGGGGCTCAGCCAAGGGGTGAAAAATCTGGGGCACAGGGTGATTGCCGCCGATGTCGTTTCTCGTCCGTGGTCTGATCTGGACCGGCCAGTTCTCCGGCGCGCCCTCCTCGTTTGGGTCTCTTCGGGAGTCATCATGGCCGTCTGGCTGGGAAAGCCATGCAACAGCTGTTCGCAGGCCCAGCACGGGCCTCCACGCAGCAGCAGGTGCAGGCCCCGCCCTCCCGACGCGATCTGGGGATTCCCAGGCCTGGAAGGCCGCGCCTTCGCCGCCGCCGTCCGGGGAGACAGCCAACTGTTATTTTCGATCAAAAAAACAATTCGGGCTTGAGAGCGTCAGGGAATCCCTGCTGTCCTTGACAACCCTACCTCCTCCTTTCTTTGGTCCGTTCCCCCTCTCGTCAGACTCGCCTCGCCCCCCTCGTCCCCGAGCCTGGTCTTCGGTTGCTGTGAGTTCGGGACCCGGTGGGGGAAACGGACCCGGGCCCAAGCTTGGGCGAGCGGCTTCAAGATCCGGCTGCCCACGTTATGCCATGGCCGTGGCGATTTCCGCGTGCACTCGCACAAGCAGCACATGGTCTTCACTGGCCAAGACAAAGATCTGGGCAAGCTCTCGGCCCAAGCTGCGCAGAGCTATCCTCGACGGGTGGCCTCGACTTTCGCTTCGGCTCTATTGAATCGCGCCCAGGGCCTCCTCCACCCAGCCCAACTCCAGCAGCTGGTGATGATCTCAGGTTTTTTTGGCATACACAGTTTTGACGGCTTTCGGACAGAAGCCTTCCCGGGACATGGGTTTGTCCCTCTCCCTCCGCTCCTGGTCGGTGGTGGTGTCCGGTTTCCTGCTCCCTCCCCCGCTCCGCTGCCGGCCTCTCCTCGGGACGAGCTGGTCCGTCGTCGCGTGCAGCCGCCTGGCCTGCGAACACAAAGTCCAGCATTGGCTCGGGTGGTTCACTGGATGGTAGTTTTCCAAGTTTTTCAAATTTTTGATCCACAAGCAGAATGAGAGCCGCCAGATGCGTTCGCCAGTTGGGGAGCCAGCGTTGCATCTGCACCGTAGCCTTTTCTCTCGTCCGCCCTCCCTTCCCTTCCTTCCCTCCGCTCCTGGTCGGTGGTGGTGTCCTCCTTCCTGCTCCCTCCCCTCCGCTGCCGGCCGATCCTCGGCACGAGCTGGCCCGTCGTCGTGTGCAGCTGCCTGGCCTGCGAACGCCAAATCGATCGGCGGCTTGGGTGGAGCTCTGGATGGTCTTCTTCCAATGTTTCTAAATCTCAATCCAGAAGAAGACTGAGAGCCGCCAGCTACGTCCGCCTGTTTGGGAGCTAGCTTTGCATCTGCACCGTAGCCTTTTCCCTCGCCCGCCGCCCCTCCCCTTCCTTCCCTCCGCTCCTGGTCGGTGGTGGTGTCCTTCTTCCTGCTCCCTCCCCTCCTCCACTGCCGGCCGATCCTCGTCACGAGCCGGTCCGTCGTCGTGTGCAATTGCTCGGCCTGCGAACACAAAGTCGATCAGCGGCTTGGGTGGAGCGCTGGTGGATGATGTTGATGATGATGATGATGATGATGATGATGATGATGATGGTGATGGTGATGGTGATGGTGATGGTGATGGTGATGGTGATGGTGATGGTGATGGTGATGGTGATGATGATGATGATGATGATGATGATGATGATGATGATGCGGAGGAGGAGAAGGAAGAGGATGAGGATGATGAGGATGAGGATAAGGAAGAGGATGAGGATGAGGGTGCTGATAATAATGATAATGGTGATGATGATGATGGTGGTGATGATGATGATGATTATGATGATGATGGTGCTGATGATGTGGATGATGGTGTTGATGATGATGACGATGACGATGATGATGATGATGATGCTGACGATGATGATAATGACGACAAAGATGATGTTGTTGGTGATGATGATAATGACAATGAGGATGGTGATGGTGATGGTGAAGGACGTGACGTTTGAGATGATGGTCAGTGTTGATGGTCTTGATGATGATGATGATGATTATGGTGATGATGATGATATGATGGTGGTGGTGATGATGATGATGGTGATGATGGTGATGATGGTGGTGGTGGTGATGATGGTGTTGGTGGTGGTGGTGGTGATGGACAGGATGATGTGGGTGATGGTGAGTGCGATGCTAGTGATCATGACCGTAGTGATCATGATGATGATGAGGATGAGGACGATTTCCTATTATGATGATGTTGCTGGTGATGGTGTTGGTGATGCTGATGATGATGATTATGGTGCTGGTGAAGATGATGATGACGATGATGGTGATGATAGTGACGAGGGTGATCATTGTGATTATGGTAGTGGTGGTGATGATGATGGTGAAGTTGGATGCTAATGTTGATGAGTAGGAGGAGGAGGAGGAGGAGGAGGAGGAGGAGGAGGTGGAGGTGGAGGAGGAGGAGGAGGAGGAGCAGAGCTACTTGGAGGAGGAGGAGGAAGGGGAGGAGGACGAGCAGCAGCAGGAATAGTGCTTTGCGCGGGAGCTGGGCAGTGGCAGGAGCAAGAGGAAGCAGAGCGGAGTGGAGGCCAGGACAGGAATCCTCGTTGGGAGAAATTGCCAAGGCGAGGCAGGGAACAGCCCAGCAACGATGCGGTGACAGGGAGAAAGTCGGCCGTAAGCGTTACCTTTTGCTAGAGTGACCTTTGGTGCGGGCACAGTGGGGTCCCCAGATGGCTGAATGCGATGCAGTAGCAGCGGCTTGCGCGCTCCGTTTAGGCCTCACCGCGGCCCCCGAAAGTCGCGCACCAATGTTAACTCTTGCCTAGGGTCACTCTTACATGTAGACGAGTAACAAAGGGGCAGCATGGTCCCCTCCTCCTCCTCCTCCTCCTCCTCCTCCTCCTCCTCCTCCTCCTCCCTCCTCCTCCTCCTCTTCCTCTTCCTCTTCCTCCTCCTCCTCCTCCTCCTCCTCCTCCTCCTCCTCCTCCTCCTCCTCCTCCTCCTCCTCCTCCTCCTCGCGCCAAAATAGAGACACTCCCCCTCGCTGCGCGCCCGGTCATCACCAGATAGGCGCTGCGAGCTGACGGTGCAGGGCCTCCGCCAGCCTTCGATGCACGGTCACAAAGGGAGGATCCGATTCTGGCTAGGGACGGGAGGCCCAAGTCGGGCCGAACGAAAGGGGGGGGATAGGGAAAGGGGGGGGTCACGAAATTTGCTGCATGCAGCTAGTTTCGGCCCCGCCGCCGGGCCCATTCCTCGATACATGGGCGCCTCCCGGCGCCAGGAGGCGCTGGGAAAATCAGCTACGTGAGCTGGTTCTCTACCCTGCCCTTTGCTTTCCCCCTCTTTCGTTCCCCCTGACCAAGGGAAGCGGAGATAAGAGGGAGGCGAGAGATGCGGGTAAGATAATGGGGGGGGTGAGATCGGAGGCGCAGGAGGAGGCAGAGGACGAGGAGAGCTAGGTAAACGAGGAGCACGAGGAGAATTGTGACAGTGGGAATGATGAGGAGGAGCAGCAGGATTATGAGGAGGAGGAGGATGTAGAGTAGAAGGAAAAGGAAGAGGAGGACAAGAATAATGATGACAACGATGACGAGAAGGAGGTCGGGGAGGAGAACGAGGAGGACGTCAACGACGCGAACGAGGACGATCACAAGGAGGGGTGAGACGAGGAAACGCTACAAACCAACCAATCACATCGATCCGTAGGACAATGATGGGGTAGAGGTGGAGTAGGACGGAGAGGGGAGAGCAGGAAGGGGGGAGGGGGGCGACCAAGCGAAAGTGTGCGGAGGAGGATCAGGGGGAGGAGAAGGAGGAGGGGAAAGAGCATGAGCAAGAGCAGGGGTGGGATAAGGAGGCGGGCGACTGGGGGAGAAGGGCAGCCGCGAGGTGCCAGTGAACACGGGCGGGAAGAAGTGACGCTGCGACGGCCGCCAGTCGCTCCTCCCCCTCATCCTCCCACAGCTCCTGCTGCCGATCGTCCTCCCGCGCCTCCTCCCTCCCTCCCTCCCTCCTCCCTCATTCTCTTCCGCCCCCTCCTCCTCGTCCTCCTCCTCCTCCGCCTCCGCCGCCCTCCTCCTTCTCCTCCTCCTCCTGCTCCTCCTCTTCCTGCTCCTCCTCCTCCTCCTCCTCGTCTTCGTCTTCGTCCTCCTTCTACTACTCGAGCGGTGTGTCTCCTTTACAATGTTGTTTGCCTCACCTTGCCTAGTTGTCTCCCTTTTCCGCTGCCGTTTTGGCTCGGGTACGGAAGTCGGCCGGCATCCGTGCCCGCATTCGCCGCGTATTATTTCCGCTTTCGTTCTCGCGAGCAAGATATCGCATTCACTCTACATCTTCGATCCAAGTTGGTAGCGGAGTACCGGCCATGCGACTGCAGCCCCTCCCCGCGCCATGCCCGCGTGGCGCCGCCTTTGCAGTGCCAGGCATCGAAGGCCCCGGCTTCCAATTTTTTACCCAGCTGCCCGACTACGCGCTGGACCATATTTATCACGATCGTTGCCAAGTTTGCGAAGGGGAACGCTCTCGACCACCACCTTCACAAGGACATCGGCTTCGACAAGGTAGACCCGTATGACGACAACCCGTACAAGAACGACAACATCAAGGACCTCAACCTGAATATGTACGACACCAAGCTCATCAAGAACCGCAGCGCCCCTTCGCCGCTGCCTGCGTGTCCCCTGGGGCGTACTCAAACTATGTTTGGGCCGCTCGAGATCCAAAGTAGTTGTCTCCTTCTTTGTTAGAAAAACCACCGGAGGGAGCCATCCGCGCATAATGAATAGTTAATCGACACAGCGTTCACATCATCGGCCTCAGTCAAGGGCCCCGAGCTGCTTTCAACAATGTTGCGAGCGCCCCAGGAAGTGCAGGCGGATAAGAGTTTGGATAAGAGTGGGAAGTCAGTGGAGTGAGTGTCTGGCGACTATGTTGTCAGCTCTACAAGGGACACTGAAGCATATCTAGGACGATCCGCCTTCGATATCTTGGAACATGACATATCGCAACACCCGCCGATTTTTTCAGTCTGGCAGGACGAGATCCCGATGCGCACTCCCCTTGACGATCGTGCCGTTGGTGGCATTCATCATAATGACAGCACGACGCACGAAGGGCATTCCCACAACTACCGTGGACGTTCTGGGATGTCCCGAGTGCAGCGAACCACACGACGCCACTACGGAAGACCACGCCCAATACGCTGATGAGGAGGAACAGATTCGGGACAGGGGCCCACGACGGCTCCGAGGCTCATGGTCAGAGCAAAGCCGTTGGTGGGCCCCCAGCCTCCAGCACCTCGTGGACCTGTGGAGGGACCTCCACTCTGGATGGAAGGCCATCGGAGTGGGCATGCTTGCCTTAGACAGCTATCTTACCTGCATGGACGCAGGCGACGGCGGCAGCAACATGCTGCACCTTCGCACCTCGGGGCCCCGGCATCAATATCGGGTGCCGTTCCAGCGATGGGCGCGGGAGGTGATGATCCGGCCAGTGGCGCATTCGGACCTCAACGAGTTTCGTCAGGCAGCCTTTGTATCATCACCACTCACCCGCATGTCACGTGAGTTTTTGAATAAATGGCGGCCAGCTGTCCTGATCCAAGGAGGGCAATATCAACGTCAACCCGGTGCCACCGATGACCTTCCCAATGCACAGTTTGGCCGATCGCTGGGGCCAAGTGGGCGAGGCGCGCACCTCAGCAGTATCAGCACTCATGAACTTCAACCGACTGCCGCAGGTGCGCACAGACAACCTCTTCACGCGTTTCGATATCCTCAGCAACGGCGCACAGCATGTTGGTCAGCTCATGGTTGGCAACGAGTGCCTCAGCTACCTCCACTTGCGCGCGGTCGGAGTGTCGAACGTGCCGCTGGCCATGATCTTGCAGCACTACAACATGGCCTGCTCGACCAGCGCAGCGAAACTCGCACGCATGACGGGCCAGTTGCGACGCTTTGGGCACATGGTCGAGGGATCGCCCGGTAATCTCGCCTCAGCAGCTGTCCATTCGGCCCAATATCGAACCTTTTTCACGGGTGCGCCCGCGCGAGATGAGGTTCAGAGCGTCTACGACATTGCAGCCGGATCGAGCTGGGACGGCCTGGGCCCATCAGCGCTGGGAGTAGCGCCAAGCCCACTTGCACCAGCACCACCATCGCAGGAGGCATTCCCAGCTGGCATCGACTCAGACACAAACGCCGGCACCATCAGCTCATTCGGCGAAGGTGAAATTGCCGCCGACGGCCCCGAACAACGCGACGTTCCTGCGGAACAGCGTGGCGCACACATATTTCTGACCTGAACGCGTGCTCATGTCTTTTGTTACTGGTTGGTTTAATGTGTCTGCCCCCCCATTCATCCCCTCCCCTCCTCCTCCTCCTCCTCCTCCTCCACCTCCTCCTCCTCCTCCTCCTCCTCCTCCTCCTCCTCCTCCTCCTCCTCCTCCTCCTCCTCCTCCTCCTTCCTCCTCCTCATCCCTCCTCCTCCTCCTCCTCCTCCTCCTCCTCCTCCTCACTCCTCCTCCTCCTCCTCCCTCCTCCTCCTCCTCCTCCTCCTCCTCCTCCTCCTCCTCCTACTCCTCCTCCTCCTCCGCTCCTCCTTATCCTCCTCGTCATCCTCCATCCTCTTCTTCTTTTTCTTTTCCTCCTCCTCCGCTTCCGCTTCTTCCACCTCCTCATCATCATCATCATCATCATCAGCGTCATCAGCGCTATCCTCCTCCTCTCCCTCCTCGTCGTTATCCTACTTCTCCTACTCCTCCTCATCCTCCTTCGCCTCGTCGTCCTTGGGGGTTCATAGTAATACGCACCCCTCCCATCCTACCACCCACGATCGCCCCTGGGCGGCGCGTGGCAGTAAGTCATGTTTGGAGGGGTTGATGATAATGCACATTCCTCTTTTCCTACCACCCACGACCATGCACCCCTCCCTCCCACCACCCACGATCGTCCCCGGGTGGTGCGTTGCAATACCACCGTTGTTGGAGCTTCGTAGTAATACACTCCCCTCCTTTCCTACCACCCACGATCATCCCTTTGCGGTGCGTGGCAATATGTCCTCCTGTGGTGGATCATAGTAATACACACCCTTCCCTCCCGACCACCAACGATCGTCCCCGGGCGGTGCGCGGCAATAACTCCGTTTCTGAGGGTTAAAAGTAATACGCGCACCTCCTTCCGATTTGTCCTACCACCCACGATCGCCCCCGGGAAATGCGTGTCAACAATTTTTTGCGGGCTCATAGTAATACAGACCCTTCCCTCCCTACCACCCACGATCGCCCCCCGGCGGCGCGTGGCAATAACTTTTTTCTGGTGGTTAATAGTAATACACACCCCTGTTGTCTTACCACCCGCGATCATCCCCAGGCGGTGCGTGGCAAGAATGTTTTTTCTGGGGTTCCATAGTAACACACACCCCTCCCTCCCTATCACCAACGATCGTCCCCGGGCGCTGCGTGGCAATAGCTCCTTGTCGGTGGGTTCATAGTAATACACACCCCTCCCTCCTTACCACCCACGATTGTCCCCCGGCGGTGCGTCGCAATAAATTTGTTTCTGTGGGTTCATAAGAACCCACACCCCTCCTTCCGTACCACCCACGATCGTCCCCGGTCGGTGCGTGACAATTGCTGCCGTGTGGCGCCGTACTTATGCACATTTTGTTTCTCTACCACCCACGACCACACACCCTTCCGTTCCCACCACCCACGATCGTCCCTGGGCGGTTCGTGGCAAGAACTCTTGATATGGGGATTAATTATATACACACACACACCTTTCCCTACCACCCACGATGACACGCCCCTCCCACCCCACCACCCACGATCGTCACGGGGCGGTGCGTGGCAATAAATTTGTTTTTGGGGGGTTAATAGTCATACACACCCCTCCTTTTCTACCACCCACGACCACACACCCTTCCCTCCATACCACCCACGATCGTCCCCGGGCGGTGCGTGGCAATACCACCCTTCTTGGGGTTCCGTAGTAACACACACCCTTCCTCTCCTACCACCCACGATCGTCCTTGGCCGGTGCGTGGCATTTTGTTTGGGGGTGGTTCATAATCATACACACTTTCCTTCCCTACCACCCACGATCGTCCCTGGGTGGTGCGTGAGTTCAATCGTAATACATACCCCTCCATCCCTACTGCCACGATCGTACATGGGCGGTGCGTGGCAAACTCATTGTTTTGAGGGTTGCCTTTCCTTACCACCCACGACCACACACCCCTCCCTCCCCACCACCCACAATCGTCCCCGGGCGGTGCGTGGCAATAACTCTTGCTCTGGGGGTTAATAGTAATATACACCCCTCCTTGCCTACCACCTACGATCGTCCCTGGGCGGTGCGTGGCAAAAATTCTCTTTGGGGGGCTTCACGGAAAAACACACTCTTCCTTTCCTACCACCCGCGATAGTTCCCGAGCGGTGCGTGGCAATAACTTTTTCTTGGGGCTAATAGTAATACACACCCTTCCCTCCCTACCACCCACGATCGTCCCCGGGCGGTGCGTGGCAATATCTCCGCTTCTGGGGTGAATAGTAATACACATTCCGATCGTCCCCAGGCGGTGCGGGGCAATATTTTTGGGTGAATTTATCGTAATACACCCCCCTCCCTTCTAACCACCCACGATCGTCCATAGGTGGTGCGTGGCAATAACTTTTTTGGGGGGGGTCGTATTCATACACACCCCTTTTTTCCTACCACCCACGATCGTCCCCGGGCGGTGCGCGGCAGTAACTTTGTTTCTCGGGTTTAATAATGATACGCACCCCTCCATCCCTATCACCCACGATCGTCAGTGGGCGGTGCGTGGCAGTCATTTTTTTGGTGGGTTCATAGTAATACACCACACCCCCTTTCCAACCACCCACGATCGTCCCTGGGCGGTGCGTGGCAATGACTTATTTTCTGTGGGTTGCTAATAATACACACCCGTCCTTCCCTACCACCCACGATCGTTTCTGGGCGGTGCGTGGCAATTTCTGCCGACCACGATCTTTTCCGGGCGGTGCGTGGCAAGAACTCCTTTTCTGGTGGTTCTCCCCCCCTACCACCCACGATCGTCCCCCGGCGGTGCGTGGCAATAACTCTGTTTTGGGGGGTTAATAGTAATACACCCCTTTCACTTCCTACCACCCGCGATCGTCCCCGGGCGGTGCAAGGCAATATCTCGGTTTGGGGGGGGTGATAGTAATACATACCCGCCTTCGGCGCGTGGCAATACTTATTTTTGTGTGGTCTATGATAACACACACACACCCCTCCTTCCCTGCCACCCACGATCGTCCCCCGGCGGTGCCTGGCAATAATTCTGTTTCTGGGGTTAATACTCGTACACACCCCTTGTTTTTTTTACCACCCACGATCGTCCCCGGGCGGTGCGTGGCAATGACTTTGTTTCTGGGGGTTAATAATACTACACATCCCTCCCTCCCAACCACCCCCGATCACACACCTGTCCTTCCCCACCACCCACGATTGTTCCCGGGCGGTGCGTGGCAACATGTTTGTTTTTTGGGGCCAATCGTAATACACACCCCTCCCTCCTTACCACTCACGATCACACCCCTCCCTCCCCACCACCCACAATCGTCCCCGGACGGCGCTTGGCAATATTACCGCCTCTGCGGCTTCGTAGT